CAGCTACACGTTCCTTACGGAATCGCAAAAGTATACCCACTAAATTCGTGGTGGTGCCTGGACCTTGATAGACCATGTCACTTAAAGATTGCCCCTTGTGTTTTGCTACACAATCCAAAACTATACGCAGCTTTTCCGGCTTTTTGGGGTTTAATACCGCATGATGAGGCAGGTACCAATGCGGATGAAAGTCGCATTGTAACTGTTCCCTTGGGACTGGCACGGCATATCCCTTCTCTATAGTTATCTTCATCGTTTGTGCGTAGCGGAACCGTAGCGATTCGTCATTAATTAAGCGCCGCTTCAGGCCGTTCAATCTCGAGAGCGCTGACGCATAGTTTCCCATACCGGTATTGACACCCTTCTTCCATGGCACAGGGACCACGAAGTGCCCACCGACGAACATTGTACCGGACTCTACAATAGCGATAGCCTCCGTATCGTCTACGGAAATGCCTTGATCTAATAACTGGGCGTCTGTAAATTCTGCATTCAATTTGAGTATTCTGCAGCCAAGCAGTTGACCGATTGCATTTCGTACGAAGCAAAGCTCGAAGGTACAAACATCACCCAACCTAATAGCCTCCGAACTGCATAAGGATTCTTTCGACCACCGAGCCTTTGATCGATTACCCAATGCGCCTCCGGTATATCACACCCAATTAATAGTAAAACTTCTCCATCGAAGTATTCTACCGGGAAGTCTGTCAAACGGGGTCATATTTTCATCCTTTCAGAGATGTTTCTAACCGGCTTATGAACGGGCAATTCTTTTATAACAACAGCTTGCTCCACACATACTGATTCTGCTTCATTTAGAGGCAGTACCTGGAAAGCACTGCTGACGAAGTTTGCCTCCACTGATCCACTCATTGTAGTTATTTTTGAATGGTTTCTTTGTTGGTTTAACCCCAACTGAAGTAGTGCACTCGCTTTATTAAGCGTCGTATCCGATCCATTATCTAGTAGGGCATACCCAATAATCTCTTTTAATCCAGCTCTTATATCGACCGGTAATAATCCCAGACTCGCATTATTGGTCCGAAGTGTAGTTTCTCCGCAGTGGTCCTCACCGACTGGTTCATTCTGTGTGCTTAGGACTCAGTTGACGATGTAAAGTAACTTGTGATGTCTACCTCCGCAACCACTCACGTCGCAAGTGGTCTTATTACTGCAGTCGTTCGCTCGATGGCTTCCCATTAAACATATAAAACACAAACCGTATATTCATGCTTTGTCCCATCTTTCCTGGGTATTTAACTCCGAAAAACTCAAACAAGATGAAACCAGATGGTTTTCAGCACAAATCAAACATCGTTGTGTGCGTATATCTTTAATATTCTTGACCAAATTTACATTACAGTTTAATGAAGGTTGACGCCTGCTAGCAGTTCGCGTCTGTGTATTCTAGGAGTTCTTTCATCTGCTGCTCCATTTTCTCTCGCAGATGGCGTTCCTTCGTTTCAATTAACGACACACTAAGCTTCAACTTACCGCTCAGCCGACTAGACCCACTAACCCTGGAGCCATGAACAGAAAACCCAAGCAGATGGACTTGCCGAGATTCTCTGGTGTTGTCGCCGGATTCCCGCTGTTCGTCACCAACGTCCTTGTTCGTCAAATTCATTCTCCGAGTGACGGGCACATCAGAGTACTGTAACGACCAAAACGTGATTGTCCTGGTCCGAGCGAAACGAAAAATACCTCGTCTGTATGCGTTCAATCAAATGGTCCTTCGCTCGTTCTGGATAGCGATCAACAAATCTCAAAGCAACGCGTTGCCCAAATTTTCGAGAACCAAGTCGATCCAAAAATAATCTACGGTACTATTTTCGCATTAATCAGAAATACATAAGGCAGTCATATCTCTGATAGTGAGCCTGATTCACTATCCAGCCAAAATGTTACAAATATTGACAGAAAATATCTGCGGTAATAAAAAGTAAATAAGAAAATGAGTGATTTGAACTACCTTTCAGATAATTCTGGACCAATAAGAAAATTCTATGGTCACTCTGGCCCAGTGGATTCTGCACTGCTACCTCACGTGTGTTCGATAAATACCGCGTTATACCTACGTCCAGGACGGAGACCCTCTATTGTTGCGAAACCCTGTGGCCTGCATGATATGCTGAATGAGCGCATGCTCATGTAGCCATGGTAGAAAGCTTTCTCCCTTTGTCCCAACGGGAGCCTCTCCCTCTACCCAACAAATCTCCGGAAGATTGAACTCACCCAGAATTAAGATCCTTTGGGTCCTCGATATGAATTACTGCATTGTAGCAATTAGTCCAATATCTTCTGTGGGTTCTGCCTGGGGTGAGCGATAGACTAGTAGCACTCCTAACGGTCGTCTTCCCAAGAGGACACCACACGCCTTGGCTTGAATATTAGGTGTTGCCAGTTTTACTGGTGAGTCATGCTGAGTGTAAGCGGCTTTGACCAGCAGGAGTACTCCTCCGCCTTGTCTGCCGTCCACTCTATCTTGCCTATAAGCCCAGCAGTCTCTGGGCTTCTCTACATCTTGCACATGCCGCATCCAGGTTTCAGTGATAGCTATTATCTCCGATCTTAGAGTGTGAGTCGCCAACTCTCCCCATTTTCCCCTGACACTGCAGGCTTTACTGTACCACACTGTGACGGTGTCCACTTCCGCCTTCATACAACTATTCTCTGTTGCTTGGGGATGGATCTTCGGACGTAAGGCCCTAGGAGCTATCACGTTTTTTGATACCATATTTCCGAGTACCGGGCGATCAGGCTCCATAAACGACCAAGCAATACCGCCACAAACTTCGTTATGCCTTTGAGTGTTAACCGAAAGTCCTCACCGAGTCTTTTCGTGGGCGCTCGCTGCCTTCTAAGCATGCATAGTGTCCTAATCAGAGTGTCCTTAATAC